GAACTCAGTTCCAAAACCATCCGAACTCGAATATTCGAGTATCGATCTTACAAAATATTCGACTATTCGAATAATCGATTAAGTGTGTTTCTTTGAATCGAATATTCGAAGAATAAATAAATGCGCTTTCTCGAATACTCGAATATCGAGTATGCAAATTACTCGAAATGTTCGAATACTTTATTCGAACACGAATATTCGGTCCCAACTATACCGTTGATGATATCGTTACTGTAAGAGTGCTGATCCGCAACTTTGCGGTCTGGGCATTCAACTACTGGGCTCATCGATAGAAATGGTTGCTGGTCGATTACAAACCAGATTTAAAAGAGCAGCTGCGCGCTAGAATTACTACTCGCTAAATACTCGTCAACCACATTGTTAGAGGACGAAATGGTATAAAAAGACTCAGTAAATTTACAGTTGTAACTAGCATGTTGCTCCATAAAATGCCTCTATATATCCATGAGCTGCTTTATTTAACCAATTATTTATTTATCATGCACACAGAATGCGTAAATGGGACTTGAAAGAAAGATGTCGACATTGAGAAAGATTAAGTAGATGAGGCAAAAACTGATAAATCCGTCTACCTTTACATTTTAATAAAAAAGGTTTTCTTTCTACGAAAAGCAAGAACCGTAACCTTCAAGGTAGTAGTGATCAAGTTGCACACTAGTCGGCCGAGCGCGCGCTGGTGGGCATGTATCAACATCTGGAGAAATTACCATCAAAAAACTTGTTTTTTTTTTCGCCACAGATCGTTCCTTGGGGACATCAACTTTCATATTGCATTAGCAAATTCGGCGCGAGCAGCTATCACCAAAAAGATTATGTCGCAAAAGTATGTCGGGTTCTGCTTTTAAGCGCTAGCTAGCGTAAAATTTAAATTAGTTGCCTGAATGAAAGCCACAATCTTTAAGTCCTAACATTCTGATTTTAACTTTGCTGAAGTTTGTAGTGAGACCTCATACGCAACGCTCAGATATTGCGCATGTTTTTGTAATTAAAAAAAATTTTATTATCAAAACTAAACAGCGCAACCAAGTGCGTACTTGTGCAGTCAATAAGTCTAGCTCCTTTCATGGAAGGGAAATCCAA